GCAACCCTCCTGATAATTTTGTTGTTTTATTTCATATTTTTTAGTAGCAAACCAGTTTTGTTTCACTTGAAACGTTGTCAAATGGAATATTCTATTAATCAACAGAAGCTTAGATTAGAACACTTAACGATAACATAGTTGGCCTTTAAAAAAGTGAGGCAGTTGAATGCACAGAGTATGCATGTGCTGGTGCACGGTCAGGATGGTACCACCTCTGCCTCAGTCTGAGCCAGGAAAAAACCCTGACATAGAGCAAAGTTTTAAACAGATTCACGATCCAACAAGTTAAAAAGTTAATGAGACCCTTGGTTTCAAACAACATAATGCTCAACGTACCCAACTCCACCTGCAGGTGGATCACTGACTTCCTGACAGACCGTAGGCAGTGCGTGCGGCTGGGGAAGAATGTTTCCACCATTCAGACAATTAGCACAGGATCTCCACAGGGCTGTGTACTTTCTCCTCTGCTCTTCTCCCTGTACACAAACTGCTGCACCTCGAGCCATGACTCCGTTAAACTAATCAAGTTTGCGGACGACACCACCCTCATCGGGCTCATCTCTGACGGTGATGAGTCCGCCTACAGGAGGGAGGTGGAACGGCTGGTGTACTGGTGCAGCAGCAACAACCTGGAGCTCAATGCTCAGAAGACAGTGGAGATGATTGTGGACTTCAGGAAAGTCACAGCCCCATCTCTCCCCCTCGTCCTGACGGACACCCCCGTCACCACTGTGGACTCCTTCCGCTTCCTCGGAACCACCATCACACACGACCTTAGGTGGGAGCCATCCATCAGCTCCCTGCTCAAAAAGGCCCAGCAGAGGATGTACTTACTGCGGCAGTTGAAAAAGGCCAAGCTGCCGACCCAGATGATGGTGCAGTTTTACACGGCCATCATTGAGTCCATCCTCACCTCCTCCATCGCTGTGTGGTACGCTGGAGCTACAGTGAGGGACAAACATAGACTGCAGCGCATTGTGCGCTCTGCTGAGAAGGCTGCAGCCTTCCATCTCTCCAGGACCTGTACGTCTCCAGAACTCGGGGGCGTGCAGGTCGGATAGCAGCTGACCCTTCTCACCCGGGTCACAGACTTTTTGAGCCGCTTCCCTCAGGCAGGAGGTTACGGTCCATCCGGACCAGAACCTCCCGCCATAAGAACAGCTTCTTTCCATCTGCCGTTAGACTTGTGAACAGCTTATAAATACACAACCATGCTCGTCTGCTGAATCCAAGTTGTTTGATTTTTGATTATCTTCCAATACTGAGTCCTGTTCTGATACCAGGTGGTGATGCAATGCATTAAAAAAGAAGAAGAAAATGGAGAAAGTCCCATAGTCATCATCACACACTGGTGATCTCATTGGAGGGGAGTGGTGAGATGCAGCAGTGGCTGGGCTCGGGAGCTATTTGGTGGTTTTACCCCCAATCCAACCCCTTAAAGCTGAGTGTCAAGCAGGGAGGCATTGGGACCCATTTTTAGTCTTTGGTATGACCCGACCGAGAATGGAACCTGATCTCACAGTCCCAGGGAGGACACTACCACAAGGCCACTGAGCTGGTCCCATATTGTCCTTCTGTCTGTATTTGTACTGGAAATGGACTAAAGACAGCTCATGTAAGAGGTGGTAAAATATGAGCAAAATAAAATAAGTCAAATAAATGCAACCACAGGAAGTTATCCAGTGTGATCTACAGCTATGGTAGCTGAGATCTTTTCCTGTCTGTAGGAAGTTCCTGATCCAATTCCATGATCTCACTCTGAGTTTGCCTGTGTGCAGCTCCGACGTCGGATGTGTGTGTATAGAGGATGTGAGCTGAGAGGAGCAGCATGTTGGTGTACTGACTGTGTGATTTGGCTGCAGCCCAGATTGGACAAAACAAGCAATAACTGGAGTTCCGTGTGTAAACTGGCCTGAATATGAAAATAGAAAACAAGAAACACAAGAAAAAGTTGTAAACGACAGCTTTCCTTTAGAAAAATATAGAAAATTCAGACAACTGCTAAACAGTGAATCAAACACAGATGTGTAGAAAAACAACTGTTGCTCAGAGAGCTCTTAAAGTTGCTATTTGACTTGCTCTCATGTTTGAATAAGACCACCACCCACTCGACTAGGACATTAAATTCACTGAGCTGCATGCTGACTTAGCGACTGCACTCTGGAGTCACATGTGGAGGCTGTAGTAAGCATTTTGTTTTTGTCTATAGCGCTGCAGACTAGGGCTGCACAATATATCAAAAAAATATCGTCATCGCGATAACAGGACGTGCGATAGGCCCATCGCAAAGCACATCAAAAACGGCGATAAATGTTTGGTTCAAACATTTCCATCCGTATAATACATCAACTTTTTGTAAACCAGCTCTGTTTTTAACGCGGAAGTATTATTTGACCAATCAAATGCAGCCCTTCTGATATGCGGCCAATCAGATGGGTCCGTTCACGTAATATGCCCGCCCCCTACGTAGACCCTTACCCCAAAATTCCACTATCTCCGCTCCGCCGCCCCCGCTTTCCGCTCGCTTCCCTTGTTCATCATGCTGGCTCAGAGCAACGAACGCACTTTGTGCTGAGGTTTCTGGAATCAGCGCTGCTTTCAAAAGTGAACGTGAGTCCGCTCGGTGTCATTAAGCAGCTGATAATAACCGGGCTGACTCCGACACGTGCCGGTGAACCAACCCACCTTCATGTCGCTAGTGTTCCTCAGGCTGGTGATGTTAGCCCCAGGCTCCGGTTAGCTTCCAGCTAAAAGGCCACAGCACTCTCCTCCCAGTCCCACCCTGCTAAAGAGGGCCTGGAAAAGTTCCCCCACACATCAAAGTGATTTTTCATTTATGAGCTTTTATAACCTTGTTAATCAGCATAGTTGATTTGCTGCTGCACATAAACTGTCAGTCAGAAGCTCTGCTAGCCGGTTATCTTCAGCCGGGCGTACACTGTGCGACTTTTTCACTTTTTTGAGCCGATTTTCCAGTCGTGCGAGAATCCACGACATCGGGGCGAGTTTTGCGCCGAGCGGTCGTGTAGTGTACAGGGGGTTACGAGAGGCGATTAACACCACGTGACCAGCTACCAATCAGCAATCATGAGCTCGCACGGACTTCTGGCATGTTTAAAATTTTGCTCGTCCCTCGTGAGGGTATCGCACTGTTGAAGCGGTGCTGCGAGCAGCTGCGACCCAAAAAGTATCAGAACCGCTCACGGCGCATGCGCAATGCTGCATCAACACCGCTCGCCCGCTATTTCCCTGATAACACACGTTGTTCGTTTTAATTTCTACACGTTTTTTTACTCACAAAGATTGTCAAGAAAGCATGTTTGTCGTGTTCATGTCAAATTAAACTGATCACAAAACACAGATTTACTTTCTTTATTTCGTTCATCCAACCCCCATAAATCCCTGTGTGTCCTCCTGCTGCACTCCCGAAGGACAACAGGCAAAACGAGACAAAAAAGTCTGACGTGTTGAGTAAAAACTGCTATTTTTAGCATATTTTTACGTCCGACGTGTTGCTACCAGACGTACAGTGTGAGCGCATGACTCGTGAGATCTGCTCTGCGAGGAAGTCGTACAGTTTGAGCTGAAGCTGAGTGCTACGAGTGAAAAAGTCGCACAGTGTCCGCCCGGCTTTAGAGGAGCTAGTTCAATTTGTTAGCTTGTTATCAGAATCATAGTTGCAGTTTCATCATCTGAGCTGCTTTTTAAGATCTAGGTAAACTTGTTCAATTTGGGGTTAAAAACAAACGTTTTCACATATTTTCCATGTAGTTTTTTCTGCCAGTTCCTCTTCTGAAAGGTAGACAATTGTTTTTCTCTTTCCCTCAGAAAATCTTAATATTCTCCTAGTTTGGCCCAGCACAGTTCACTTCCCAATTACAGCAACAGCCTTATATCATAAGCACATAAGTGGAGAAAATGCTCAGTAGCAATGAGAGAATTTGCTGTTGCATGTAAGTGATGTTAACTATTATTTAACATTTAAACTTATTTTCTGATTATTTTATTTATTCAAAAAACCCTGGTAAGGGATGTTTTTCTGTATTTTGAGCATCAGAAAAAGTTTTATGGTGGAGGTGATGTTTTAAAGTCACTGAGAAACTGCATGCATGCAGTTTGTTGTTTTGCTGCTAATACAGTAGCAGGTGCAGCTGCTAATACAGTAGCAGGTGCAGCTGCTAATACAGTAGCAGGTGCAGCTGCTAATACAGTAGCAGGTGCAGCTGCTAATACAGTAGCAGGTGCAGCTGCTAATACAGTAGCAGGTGCAGCTGCATATTTTTGCTATAAAAATGTTATGTTGTAATGGAATTCATGCATTAGATTTTGTTTGCTTTGAACCCAGAGCAGGCGTCACACGCCAGACGACATCAACACTGCATACTTTAGTATTTGTTCATTTATCGTGAGTAATATCGATATCGCAATATTAAGCACTGTTATCAAATATCGCAGGTTTTCCTAATATCGTGCAGCCCTACTGCAGACCATTTATTGCAGCATGGAAATACTGAATAGTTTCACAACTTTTAAATCAAAAAGATAATCAGTCCATCACCACCATTCTCCTTCCCGGCACCTCCGTTCTGCTGACTCCAACCTCCTTTCCCCTTTCAGAACAAAACATGGCACCATGGGGGATGGAGCTAGCCTGGCAAGCCAGACTAAATAAATGTAGAATTTGGTCTAGTTCACTAGGCTAGGATGGAGCCTTTGCAGCCGCTGCCCCCACACTTTGGAACTCTAAACATCAGGAATGCCGTCTCTCTTTCTACTTTTAAGTCACTGCTTAAAACCCACTTCTTTAAATTGGCCTTCTCTTAAGATCAACCCAGCACCCCCCAGTCTGTTTACTATGTTTCATGTTGTTTTATTATGTTTATTGCATTTTTTGTGAAGCCTCTTTGACTGACCTAAAAAGTGCTATACAAGTTTAATGTATTATTATTATTGTTATTATTATTAGTACTATTATTATTATTATTATTATTATCACTTACAACCGCAGAAGGCAAAGTGTGTCCCCACTCCCTGTTCAGCTATTTTCCTGCACCAGATCTGGCTTTTACAGATGTTTCACACCTGTGTGAATAACACAGCTGTCTAAGAGAAAAACCACTTCTCCAACTCATTTACTTATTTACATATCTGAAAGGTGGCAGCCCTACCTGTGTCCATGCTGTCCAGGTGGTGAAGAACACACGATGAATCAGTCCCAGCTGATGGATGATCCTGAAGTGGTAGCAGGTTTTCTTTAGCCGTGTTTAGCTAACAGCTGCAATAGAAACAAAGCAGGAGAGCTGATTTAAGATGCTGCTTCAGAACAACGCAGGAGATTAAAGATCCAACGCTTTGGTTCTGGCCAAAGGAACAGCAGCAGATCCAGAGGGCAGGAAGTCTAGAGAAAAGCTTTTCTCACCCACAACCTGATTCTGGAGCTCCGATTGTCACGAAGACCGCAGAATATCTTCTCTGGTTCTGGAAAGAACTCCACCAAGTTGTTGTTGAGGAGGAGAAGAAAGTTTCCACAGCCTGGTGAGAAGATTTCTGCAGCAGCAGCAGTTAGTCGCTTTAGCTGACCAACTCTCCGAGAGACTGAAGTGAAGACACTTTTACTGCAGAGCCTCAAATATTCTCCTCACACACCAGAACAACAACAAGCTAGCTCTGCTAGCAGCTTTCGGTTTCTGCTTCTTCTGGTGGTCGGTGACTAGCGTAAAGGTGCAATAGCGCCACCTGCTGGAGCAGAATAAAACACACCTGTGTGTTCAGAATGGGACTAATAAAACACACATAACATGTATTATATTTTTATTATTTTAGGTGGTCTCTTCAAAAGCCACGAAAAACAAGTAAAATATGTTTTTCTTTATTATGTTTTTAATCTAAATCTGACCAGTTTTATTCTTTATGAACTTCAAACAAAGTAAAAAATCTTACTTTCTATAAAGAATGTGATAGAAACTTTTGATGTTGTTACTTTTATTTTTAGCAGCTCTGAGAAGCAAATAAAAAGTGTTGGGAAGGTGCTGATTTAGTCCTTATAGCTTCATGTAATGCTTAATGAGGCCACCAGAGGGCGACCTTCTTGTTTTCTCCACTCACTGAGCTCTGATGGGCAAAAGTAAAACATAAGTTTCTATTTCGAATAAATATTCCTCATATGTAGTATAATATAATAAATACTCAGTATGAAGATATAATACATGTGAAACTGTTGTGTTTTTCACTCAAGTCCAGAATCATGTCTTCAGTTTCTGAGGTGTTTATGGACAGGTTGTCTCCAGAGCACCATGGGTTAGTGATAGGACAATGGAGACAGGCACCAGAGGGCGTAGCACTTTTCTGTGGTATCCTGTCATGTATCCCCAGAGGTGGAAAGTAACGAATTACATTTACTTGCATTACTGTAATTGAGTAGATTTTTTGCGCATTCATACTTTTTAAGTAGTTTTTAAAATCTCTAATTTTACTTTTACTTAAGTATTGTTTTTTGTAAGTATTGTACTTCGCTACATTTTTTATCTTATCCGTTACTGAGTAAAAAAAAAAACAACATTGCAAAATACTGTGTCGGCACGGTTCGCACTGGATTCAGACATAACCACAGAGAAGAGAGACGAGAGTATAAACACATACATATGTAGAAGCGTCTTAACGCACTCGAGAGTGATCCAGCACTTAATGAAGTGTCTATGTCTACACTGGTAACCCAAACACGGAAGTGCTGTGGACGCTGAAGGCGAGCACCAGAAGAACTGAGTGCTTAAGTTACGAGAGTGTTACGGGGTACGAAGGAAAGGATAAGAAACACTAACTGGCTATTTGGATGACTGGAGGATCACCTAAGAAGATCAAAGCTTGTGAGAAGGAATGTAGGGATGTCTGAGCGGTCAACAAGCGAGTTGAACACAGATATCTTTAAAACCACAAGTAGAAGCGCTAAAAGCATTTCTTCTAAAAAATAAAAGATGTTTGCGCCATTGCCAGATGCTATTTTTTTTTTTACTACAACTAGAAATCTACCGCGTTGTGTGGTACAGTCAGGATTTCCTTCTTTTTTCTGATTGGTCATTTTTGAGCTTCCTAGTCCCGCCCCTCAAGTGATCTTCCAGCTAAAAGAAAAACTCAGCAGACTGGAGACTGTCTCCAAGATGTGTCTGCCACTCTTCAGAGCCATTCAGGATGATGTCCAAAAGCCCTTTGGTGAGATGATGGAAGACCCTGAGCTGACTGCTGCTGCAATCCTTCTTCTAAAGTTCAAGACCACCCGGACTGAGAGGCACGATATCATTGAAGCAGGTAATTTTTTATAATTTAATATCATACCTTAATCTGTTTCTTATTCATTTCAATCCTGTCAACATACTTAAAGTTCAATTATACGAGTCTGTCGACACAAATTATAGTATTTGTAAGGTATGTATTACTAAAAAAAAATTCTTGTTGCATCTTCTATCAAAACTTAATTGCCAGATGTATTAAATATGTGTTATGTATTTGTCATTCAACAGGTTTGATCAATATGAGAAGACATCTTGACCAGATGGCAGAGGCTGGGGCAGAGCAAGTCAAGCAACAGTCATCACATCTCACCCTCATCTTTGTTTAAAAGTGCTTTTCAGTCCATCGGTCCCAGCATGCTCTCTATAATTAATGCTTCTCTGGTCTCTGGTCAGGTCCCTGCTTACTTTAAGAACACTGTAATCCACCTGCTTCTTAAAAAAACGAGTCTCGACCCCTCTCTCCATAGCAGCTTCAGACCCATCTCCAAACTTCCGTTCATCTCCAATATTTTGGAAAAGGTTGTGGCTAAACAACTCACAGCTGCTCTTGATGAACATAACATCTATGACAGCTTCCAGTCAGGTTTTCATGGAGCTCATTCTACTGAAACAGCTCTTAATGACCTTCTGACTCACAGTGATGCAGGGGACTGTTCTGTTCTGGTCCTGCTGGACCTGACTGCAGCCTTTGACACTGTTGACCATCACCTGCTACTGGAGAGACTGGGTAGGCCTATCAGGATCTGTGGGGGGGTGGGGGGTGGGGTGATGGGTCATTCAGGGAAAAGTCATGGGCTTGTGACTATAACCTAATTTATGTTACTAGTTTGCAGTGTAACTGCCTTTGTACTTCAATATGCATATTTGTTAATTTAATAAAAAAAATGGCCACTTTGACATTTATACCCCATTGTCTTTTGTTTAACTATTCAGAAGAGCCCGTCCTTGCACAGTCAAAAAAGTAACTAAGTAACTTTTACTCTGACTACATTTGAAATAAGCTACTTTTTACTTTTACTTGAGTACATTTTGAGGCAGGTAATTTTACTTGTAATTGAATAAAATTTCATGAAAGTAATAGTACTCTTTCCACCTCTGTTTATCCCATCCAAGATGGTGCCTTCGCCATTTAGTTTATATTGTGTTTTTTTACGTTTAAGAGACTATTAACTCAGAAAGACTAGTCCTTCATTCTCCTACACCTCTTCATGCTCTCACCACCTCTAAACCCACATCTCCCATTGTTTCCATCCACGAAGAAAATGCTTGCTACGTATCTTTTCACTCCTCCAGTCACAGGTGACTAAAACCTATCCATGGGAGGTATTCTTCAAGCTGCTCCGTGTCTGCCACTAGATATTGTTGGCTCACTTCATTACTTGAGGGAGCAACGGCGATGCTGTTGATGCATTTAAAGGAAGTCCTGACCAATCACAAGCTTGAGCTCTCCATCTCGTTCAATGAATGTTTAGAAACGTGGGCTCGACTCCGTCCGTCCTTGCGAGCCTGCTGGAGAGCCCTTGGAACGATGGATGATGGCGTTGTGGGTCTCTGCAGACGCAAAAACCAGGTTTATACAAAGTACCACACACATTTTAAGGTAACAGGAATTTTCTGTAATGTGGAGTAGGTTAGAAAGCTAACCAGGAAATACTAAGTAGGGGGAATATTGAATATTAAAACTAGAAACTAAAGTTGTAAGGTGACCATAGAGATACAGAACAAAAATTATGTAAACAAAACAGCAACCAGTGTCCACCAGGTCAAGCTGACTCGACCCCAAGCTGATTCTCATGTGGAGACTTATCAGACTGGGACGTTACTCGAGGTGAATCGTAAGCTGGACAATGTTCTAGCTGTGATACCGGTATTAGTGCGCAAAATGGATGTCATCTCGGAGAGGGTCACCGGACAGTATGGAAAAGCTTAAAACCCAAAATTGTCTTCACTGAAGGACTGGAAGGATCAGTTTAAAGACTGAAGGTAGAGAGGAAAATTATCTCAGCCTGACCCAAACAAAGTCTTGTTATCTGAATCTGACGCCCTGGTAGCCTTGAGCTGCAAGCAACTAAATCCCCCACGAAGGAATGCAGACAGATGCTGTGAAAACCCGACCTACCCCCCTGCCTTCGGATTGGTGGACTTCAGCTTGGCGAGGTCATCAGCTGGAGGAGTCAATGTACTCTTCGCTTCTCCCAAGATCTCCCTCCCACCTGTGACTGTACAGTAGAAGAGCGCCCCCACCCCCACCCCAGATTGTTGCTCCCCAGATTTCTACACAATAAGTCAAGTATGGAACAATCAGTGAATTGTACAGTGCCAACAAACCAGAATTAGTCAGTAAAAACTTGACTCTATGTAATACTCCTAAGGATTTGGCAATTTTACCTTTTATGTAACTAAAATGGGATTTCCATGAGTAGTCTTCATCGATAAGAACTCCAAGAAATTTAGTTTCTTTTACTCTTTAAATTTCAATCCCATCTATTTCCAATGACACATCACTGTTCTTTTTATCATTGAACAGTATAAAATTTGTTTTATTAAAATTCAGTGTCAATCTATTTATATCAAACCAGTTAATAATTTTAATCAGTTCATCATTTATCACTTTAGCCACCTCCTCAATATTTGATCCTGAGTAAAACAGTGTTGTATCATCTGCAAATAGAATGGTACCGAGTGTCTTAGATACATTTTCCAAGTCGTTAATAAACAAAATGAACAGTTTTGGTCCGAGGACCGACCCTTGTGGCACTCCGCAATTAATACCACATAATTTTGATGTATGGTCCTTTATCTGAACAAACTGTTTCCTTTTTTCTAAATAAGTTCTAACCCATTGATGAGCCACACCTCTTATTCCATACTGACTTAATTTTCGAAGTAACCTTGAGTGATCAATGACGTCAAAAGCTTTTTTCAAATCAATGAAAACACTAACAAAGTCATTTTTATTGTCAATTGCTGTTGATATTTTATCCGTTAATTCCATCATTGCCATTGCTGCGAAATGTTTAGTTCTAAACCCATATTGCTCATTGTTTAAAATATTATTTTTTTCGATGAATTTATCCAACCTTGATACAAATACTTTTCCCAATATTTTAGAAAACTGTGGAAGCAGTGACACCAGCCTGTAATTATTGAAATTATGTTTATCACCACTCTTGTACAAAGGAATGACTTTTGCTGTTTTCATTGCATCAGGAAAATTTCCAGTAGAAAGTAATAGATTACAAATGTAAGTGAATGGTTCAATGACAGATTCTATGATGGTTTCAACAGTTATCGTGTCCAGGTCCTGATAATCGGTTGATCGTTTGTTTCCACAGTGTTTTGCAGTGTTTCGTATTTCTTCTTTTTAGTTAAGACAATAACTGTAAATGTGACTGCTGCAGACTTTCTGTCTCCTGATTGGTCCCTCAGGTGGGTCTGGACTACAGGAAGTTCATCCTGCAGCCCGGCGGCTCCGAGGACGCCTTCGAGATGTTGAAGAAGTTCCTCGGGCAGGAACCCAAACAAGAAGCATTCCTCTCAAGCAAAGGGCTAACTGTGGGTGCCACCACGCCTTGTGCCTGCTAACCAATCAGCAGCCTTCTCTGCTAAAATCCGCCCTTCCCCCACTCAGAGCTGTGGACTGGCATTTTGTAGAAGAATCCTGTAAAATGTTTAGGAAGCGGTGCTGAGAATAAACAGGCTTGAGAGGATTTGTGTCTGATAATCTGTGAAGTTACGGACATCAAAAAGTCAAGATGGAGTGAGGATAATTAGGGATGTTCCGATCGCGTTTTCCTGCTCCTGATCGTGATTTAGAGCATCTGCCGATACCGAGTCCCGATCCAATACTTCATTAAAATAAAATAAAAATAGCATTAAAATACGAAAACACATTCAAGTTGTCCTTTTAAGTTTCACTTTCCCTAGTTTCGGAAGCACACTGATGAATAAACATGTTTATATCATGAATATATTTAAAAGTAGCAGTGTTGCTCTTATTTTATGTTGTTTACTCCCTCAATATGCAGCTGCTAGCAACGTTTTTCCCGGGACGGAGCAGGCAGGCAATGCCTCGGCCGGCAGGCTAACTTCACCCTGCATAACCTCTATTAGCATATCTTTCTATGTTGGCTGGCGATCCGCGCTTTTGTCTAACTACACTGTAAACTGGGACGGCTACTGGCCAACTTGCAAATAATGGAGACCAGTTATTTACTTTGTTGATGCCTGAAGGGAACAGCCGAAAGTGAAAGTCTTCAGCATGTTGAATGTCCAGTATGTAGGGTTGGGCGTCGACCATCGACTGGAACCAGCACCAACTGTTAGTTTTTCTCTGGAATCGTTCAAAGTTTTTCATTTCGATTCCTAGTTTTGATTCCTAAAATGCCGACCGGAAGAGGAATCTGCGGCCGATCTCCGTGAAAAATAAACGGGATCTGCAAATTGTGATCAACGTTTTTCAGAGCTGATCACACCAGCTGTCTGTGTGCAGCACCGAGTCCCCCCTCCCCCCACCCAGATATAAACAAACGCATCTGCCGAACTTTTACTCCGTAACGTAAACTTTAACTCCTGCAGCGTAGAGGAAACTTGTTAAATACGTCGACACGGTGGATTTAATAGAAGCTTTAAAGAACAAACTCTGGACGGTGTGAGATGAGTTTGTCTCACTGCAGAAATAAAAACACACACAGAGCGTCAGCAGTCAGACGCAGCCGCTCACCAACACTCGTGTGTGTGTGTGTGTGTGTGTGTGTGTGTGTGTGTGTGTGTGTGAGAAGGCTGAACAATAACCTGTAGAATAATTAAAGTCATCATGCTAGAGCAGCTTCTCTGTGGTGGACCACACCAGCTTCTGCCACAATAAATAATTATAATAATAATAATAACATTTTAATTTCCTTTCTGAACTATTTCTGTTGAGAGTTTTAATGTTTAAATCTGTTAGATTGTTACTGACAGCAGCTACGTTTAAGTTCCTGTTCTGACTGAATGCTGCTGCAGCATGGAGGTGCAGGTCTCAGTCATCCTGGACATGATCATCCTGAGAGTTTTAGCTGAAATCAGCTGGACGTTTCTGGATATGTTGGAGACATTTAGCCTCTCATCCCAGAGGCTTCTTCCAGACTTTGGTTGTGGTCAGAAACAAACACACTGGTTGTGCTGCAAGTCTTTTTCTTTTTTTTTCTCCAAAACATGTTTGTGTCTAAATGAATGTGATGTTGTTCATAGAGTTAAAATTCATGTTGAAGTTAAGATTATTTCATCAAGTAGGACCTGTGGTTAGCTGGCTCATGTAAAGCATGTCATGTCTTCAAAGAATCGGAATCGATAGGAACTGGAATCGAAACGAGGAATCAGAATTAGAATCGTACAAAATCAAACGATGCCCAACCCTACCAGTATGACGTCTCAAACTTGCAAAGTTGACGCTTTTTGGTGAAAATTGCCGTTTATGAAGCTACATATAACGTTCACAGGAATCAAAGAGATTTTGTTTTAGGAAGGTGAGTACTTGGTCAGGTTTCAGAATCAGTTTCACAAAAACGAAGAGGGTTCATCCTTTTCACAAACCATCTTTGTTGGTGGGTCACGAGTCGTCATTTGACCAATCACGGTCACGGAGACAGCTAGTCAAAAACGCTGCGATAGCCGGTATCGCTGCGCCGCTACTACAGTTGCTTCAACGTTTTGTAGCGGTTGGAGCGTAAAGTTTGTAAAATCATCAAAATTCCCTCCAGATACCACCGTTTTCTGTCCAGAACTACAGCAGCTTTGTCTCTTTTCATTTTCAGCCTTCACTGATGTTTCCCGAGGCTTGTGTTCTTTTGGGGTGTACTTCAAGTGTTGGTCAAAAACAGGTTTCCCAGGAATTAGACAGGTCCGTCGTAACCCAAAGAAGATTGGTTGTTGTTTCAGATTCATACAAGCGCTTTAGGCACGTTTCCCCTACATGTTACATAAGAGATTTGAAATTAAGAAGAAAAACACTTGCAAAAGCGTATGGATCTGTTCTCAATAAATATCTAAAGATGTTTCCGGTACTTTTACTGTCATTCTGTTGTGGAAAGTCGGCACAAATATTCAGTGAAAACTTAGAAAAGCTGCTTAAACCTTATTATGTCATCGTGGGCCTGTCTATATTTATAAAAGCAGTTGATGGTTTAAAGTAACTGTAACTAAAGTTACTCAGAGCAGAGGCGTGTCCAAGGAGTGGCCTGGGGTAGCACATGCCACCCTTAGAATCTGATTGGGCACCCCAGGTGCCACCCTACTAAGTTCCAGTTTAAATTGACTTTACATTGTCGACAAAAGGCTTGAGTTGTAAACTCCAAAAATAGTGTGTGGTAGCATGCACCTTTAACATTGTCTTCTAGCCCAGGCATACAGAACATTTCTGTAGTATTAATATTATTTATTATTTTTTCATATTCACACAGATAGTATTGAGTCCCACTCAACTCCAGTTGGTGGCAATAATGCAACAAGAAGTGACTTGCTAACCACCACAAAACTAGAAGATGAATAGAAAAAAATGGTGATTGTGCAATGTGAAACTCCAAAATTCACTAGAAAGTAAATAAATAAATGAATTGTGTAAATAAATAAATAAGCATAACCATTGGTGCCACCCATGCATAAACAAGTGCCCCACATGGGCCACCCCATTCTAAAAGTCCTGGACACGGCTCTGGCGGAAGACACACACACACACACACACACACACAAGCAAAATATACTTGTTTTCAATTACGTTTATTGGACCCACTTACATTTTCTTAGGCCCACCCACAAATGAGTTTCTGGCAATGCTAATGGTGACTTTTGACAGACTTCTCTGAGCTCTGCAGCCATTACACTTTTCACCTCGCGCACCCCCAAGCGGCAGCTCGCGCACCCCTGGGGGTGCGCGCACCACACTTTGGGAATCCCTGCCCTAGATGATGGACAGGTGCAAGTGACACTTTTGTAAATGTGAGGATGAGCACCCGACAAGCTGCCTTAAGAAATTTATTTGTAGGCTGAAAATTTCTAAAAATGTGATTTTTTTTTCAACCAGTGACTGTGTCAGTGCAAATATGTGGAAACACATAACTGTATTTCTTTTTTAGATTAGGGAGTTAATATAATTTATATTTTATTTTCACATTATTATTGTCTCTTGTTTCTAATCTTCATGATTATGAGTCTCTTGTGCTTTAGCGTGTCATAAATGTTTGTGTGTGTGTGTGTGTGTGCGTGTGTGTGTGTGTGTGTGTGTGTGTGCGTGTGCGTATGCGTGTGCGTGTGTGTGTGTGTGTGTGTGTGTGTGTGTGTGTGTGTGTGTGTGTGTGTGTGTGTGTGTGTGTGTGTGTGTGTGTGACTGGATGAATGATACACGTGAAGTGCTTTGGAGTCCTTACTCTGAGAGGTGCTATACAAGTGCGGGTCATTTATCGTTTATCATAATGTGCTCATAGAATTTTTTCTTACCTGTACAGTGTTTTTCTTCTGTGAGATGGACTAAGAGTCTGGAATAAAGAATACTTGACTTGATTAACAGTTTTGGTCCAGCAGAGAGCCTAACACATCTTTATTTTCAAAGCAGAGTTACCGTGTTTCCGGTTGACCTAAATAGTACATGCAAATCCACAAACATGTGGCCATCAATCAAATCAAATGACAGATTACAAGTACTTAATTAAACGTTTATTTAGATAAAGAATAAAAAGCAAAAAAAAATCCATTTCTATTTTGTTTACTTTTGTTGTACTTGTTTTCTTGAGTATGTCACAGTGAAATCCAAATATATTAATACTTCTAATTCTTACTGCAAAAAAAGTGTAATTTAAAATCAAATTTCTATGTCTTAATGTCTCATTGTGTCTAATGTCTTGATATCCTCAATGCATTTTTTTTACTTAATTCTTTTTTCGTGTTTTTCTTACGGCAAATCTTTAGCCAGCTACATTCTGCCAGGGGGTCCTTTTATAATAACAACATGGCCGCCCTCTGTTTATACAGACACCGGTGGAAACGGATTCGATATTTGTACAATTTCACAAGAAACCTAACAGGTAATTTGTGTTAATGTTTTTGATGTGCATGTGTAGCAGTAGTAGGCCATGGCTCTGTCAGAAATGGTTACGCGAAGAACCAATTAGATCAATAATTATTTCTGTTATTCATCGGACTTCATGAATTTTCCTTTTAAACGCACAAGAAACATTTTCTAACGCACTTCTGCTAAATTGTGACGTCTGCTGCACTAGCTTCTCTAAACGTGATTGCAATCTCAAAAACGTGTTAACTCAACGCTAATAGTGGGACTGTTTAGGTTTGTAAGTTCTTCTTCCAAGTGTTTGTGTCTTGGAGCTGGAGTGGAAAATAATGTCTGATACCTCCTAATAAACCAATTTTTTGTGCCCGATGCATCCCGAAACAGTCATTCCTTAGGCTCTGGCCTCAGGTGAGAAACTGGCCATCATTAAATTTAAATATTTGTTCGCATTACTGAATACAGACCAAAATAAAATGTGTAACCGTCAGATCAGAGCACTGGCGTCCACGGGTATGTACTGTTGAGCTTCCACATGGAAGTTTTTATTTGCTAAATCACAATTTCCTAAAAAGCATTCTGGTAATTATAAATCTTTGAGATAAATTTGCATCAACAAATAGGAGCTGAATAACTTAATCTCTTCAAACATCTTCCATCTGGTCAACGATGGCAATAAAAACACGCACCACCAGGCTGTTAAACTGCCTTTATGCAAGAGCCATCACTGACCTGAATGCAGCTGCTAGGAGGTCACACTAAAGGTGATTCTGCTGGACACTACAGCACTTTTACCTAAGCTAGTTAACCCTGATACCTCAGCATGCGACTGTTTATATCTATAATATGTTCACTTTATATTTCTGTTTGTAGTTTCGACTTGACTTATTGCCATGTTTACATTATACTTTTACATTTTTACACCTTAAACTAGCTGTGAGTGAGAGGTGTGTGTGTGAGAGAGAAAGAGAGAGCGTGTGCGTGACATCTGTTTTAGCCTTATTTTATTTCTCCCTCTTATTTGACTGCCTGGGCTGCGCAGTCGCACAGTTGTTTGAGCTGTTGCCTTGCAGCTAGAAGGTCCTGGCTTCGCTTCCCGGCCTGGGGTCTTTCTGCATGGAGTTTGCATGTTCTCCCTGTGCATGCGTGGGTTCTCTCCACGTACTTCGGCTTCCCACAGTCCAAAAACAGGACTGTCAGGTTGATTAGTTTGTCTAAATTGTCCTTAGGTTTGAGTGTGTGTGAGCATGATTGTGACTGTATGTCTCTGTGTTGCCCTGCAATGGACTGGCAATCTGTCCAGGGTGCACCCTGTCTGTTGACCGCTGGAGATAGGCACCAGCCCCCCCTGCGACCTTGCATGGACAAACAGGTTCAGAAAATGAATGGATGGATCTTACTACCTCTTATCTGAGCTGTCTTTAGTGAGCACAAAGCCAATGTCGTTGTATACCTGTGCAATGACAATACATTATCTTTAATCTTGAAGAATGTGAAACTGGTACTGGACCTTTAGAACCAGAACAGGCGCAACGCTTACAAATAAAAAAATGCATTTGTTCATTTATTGCTGACTCTAAACTTGCATCATAGGCTCGTCATCCCACATGACTTATCTGCTTTGCCGTACAGTCCTACGGTCCTACACTGAAGCCTTTCTAGTTTTAGTATTCTAAATTTTGTTAAACATTGCATCGATTTTATTGTTTGTTTTGTCAATGAAACACTTTGTGGTTTATTTGCAAAAAGTGCCATATAAATACACTTCTGCTTTTGTAAGGGTTGAACAGTGTTTTGCTAGATTATTTCCAGAATCTTGATTTTCTTCAAGCAAACCAATAAGCAGAAAACAAAGATCTTTTCCAAGGTTAAAGCGTGTTTTCTGATGTTGACGCCTAAAAGAAAAAGAAAAACCTAAATTACAGATTTTTTTTCTTGCTGAAACAAAGTTAACATTAGCACTGTTATTCATTTTGAGTCAAACCATGTTTGTATTGTCATCACACCTTCCATTATTAGCTTTTTAAATCAAACCTATCATCAAATATTTGTGTTTTACATCATCTCTGGTCACAGACCCCCTTATTCCATTAGATTTGACTCATTGTGTAATGTTTACGTCCAGGTAAGTACGACTATGACTTGGTGGTCATTGGTGGTGGATCTGGAGGCCTGGCCTGCTCCAAAGAAGGTGAATTTGCCTACATTGTTTTCCCGTCTGCACTGTGACTCCTCTCTAACGGTGAATCTTCCCTGCGCAGCAGCACAGCTGGGACAGAAAGTAGCTGTTCTAGATTATGTGGAGCCGTCTGCCAAAGGTAAAACACGTCCGCTGTGTGGTGCCTCAACCCTGCAAGTAGAAGTATTTTAGAAAATGAAAATGTCTGAGCACGTTGGACAATGCTTGTTTTCCATCAGGGACCAAGTGGGGTCTTGGTGGGACGTGTGTTAATGTTGGCTGCATTCCTAAGAAGCTCATGCATCAGGCTGCGCTCCTCGGGACTGCTGTCAAAGATGCCAAGATGTACGGGTGGCAGTTACCAGAAACAGTCCGCCACGACTGGTGAGCCAAGGATTAGTGTAGAAACAGCGCCATCTTGTGATGTTAAAGTAGTGGTGCAGGACTGCTTCTCCACCACTCTCTCTTTATTCTGCTCTCCCCACCCATTCCACCTTCCTCAGGATCCACTAATTTCCCTATTTCCTATTATCTCTCTCTTTCTCAACATTTTTTAATCCCAATTGTCTATTTTTGCTCATTTTAAATATATTTTTAAACATTTTCTAAATGTTTTTTTTTATATTTTTACATTTTTTGTTTTTGTGAAGTGCCTCGTGATTTTTATCTTGAGAGGCGCTATAGAAATTATATCTTCTTCTTCTTCTTCTTCTTTTTCAGGACCACCTTGGCAGAGGCTGTTCAGAACCATGTCAGGTCTTTAAACTGGGGTCACAGAGTCCAGCTCCAGGACAAGTGAGTAACAGAGGATGTCCTTTGACAAATTGTTTTACTAGTTTGTACATTTAAAAGAAGCGGGTAACACAAACAGGACCACGCATCAGATTGGGAGTTTGGCTACAATAAATGTCCACTTTTAGAAGGCAAACACATCAAGAGATCCTGAAAGCCTAAAGTTTACTGATCCTTCTGCAGTGTTACTGTTGTTTTTCCTCTCTTTTCATTGCATCAACTATCTCAGATCTGTATTTTTCGTTTGCACGCACTGCACAGCTGCAGGATTAATCAGCAGCAGCCATGTGCTGATAGAGTGACTGGCTGCAGGGCGAGCAGGTGTTAATCCTTCCTCTCCAATGACATCATTTACCTGAAATCAGAAATTGATTAATCCTTCTATTGAAGTTCTTTCTTTTCTTGTTTTTAAATTAGAGAAAAGTTGTTTGCAACCAGAAAGACGGGTGCAGCTGTAACCATAGCATAATAAATATGGTGATCAATCTTTTTTTATCTAAAGTAGGTTTTCTTGCACAGAGTTGTCCTCCAGTGTTTTTACCGCTTAAAGAGACCTGATCAATTGTTTTCTGCAGCTTCTTCCAATAAATACAGTCTTAGTTATGTTTAGTTAAGATTCACGTTTTCAATATGTTTTAACTAAATGAAAAAATGAGTTTGAGGCTGAGAGAGGATAACACAACACTGTGGAGTTGAACAGATCTGAGCTGGTGCTCTGTTGCATCCTGCTCTCTCTGCATCTTAACCCACGAAGGAGGAAATCAGAGAAAATATTAGTTGTTCTGTAGCAAATAGTAGTTACCGTGCATAAAGCAGCATCAATAGTTTTTTTGTTTTTTGTTTTGCAGGAACGTCAAATATCTGAACCTGAAAGGCAGTCTGGTGGACGGACACACGGTCAGAGGACTGAGCAAAGCTGGAAAAGAGGTGGAGTTACCTACCCCCGCCACCCCCCAATAAAACCTGTCGAAATAGTTTTACTTAATTAACACGAACATTTAAAAGCATAAAATATACTTATGCAAGGGGGGGGGGGGGACTTCCTGGGAATGTCCCTGGTTGATTTATGTGTAGAACAACACAGACACCTGGCTATAGGCCGTGTCGGGGCTGTCCTTTTGCAGATGGACGTAAGTGACGCCAACACTCACTATTTCATCTTTTTGTTGTGATGAATTCATTAAATGTGATGATTTTCACTTTATTTTGCTACTTTTCCTCACACACTTAGTTTCCCATTCAGAATCAGGATCTCTGTTGCCCATGTTCCAATCACACTAATGCTATTCTGTTAACATTATGACCTCCGTGACACATCAGGATACCGCTGAAACCCTGTCTGTAGAACAACTGAAGCATCACTCATAGACCACATCACAGCTTGGCGTGACTGTTGCTTCCATTGTTAACCCTTTTGACTCAGTTTAATAGTTTTAATGCTGTAGAGGCCGATAAGTGGCATTTCCTTGTTTTTTTTTTAACAGAGATAAACATTTCACGTGTCCTTCTCCTCTCCTGCAGACAGTTCTGACCACCAAGAATGTTGTGATCGCCACAGGCGGACGCCCAAAGCATCCTACACACGTAAATCACTTCCACTAAGACGCTCCTCTCAGTTTGTGCAGTTTGGTTGACACGCTGATGCAAACTCGCTAATATAATAACTAGAAACGGTGTCGTCTTAGGTGTTTTCCTCATTATTATTGTAGATTTTGGCCACAGCGTTGATGTTTGTTGCAGATCCCTGGCGCGGTGGAGCACGGGATCACCAGTGATGATTTATTCTGGCTGAAGAAGTCTCCTGGAAAAACGTGAGGGTGTTTTCTTTTACTGAACACCTCACTACCTTCTTATACTCATTTTTTGCAGTTTATGTGCTCACAAGATGTAAATGAGTCCATAACCTCTGATTTTTAGTGTAAATAAAGTCAGCCTGGTTGTTTCTGCTCTCCGCGAGGAACCGGACCTTTAATTCTGCGGGACTTTATGTCCTGTAGGTGCGCTACGAGGAAACAGGCCCTCTGACCTTTAGCTTTAACGCTCGGTGCCACCCGGCTCACTGACATGACACATCCCACCATCACGCGCTGTGATCATTCATCAGAGACGTGCAGTTTGTTTTTCTCCCTTCCTGTCAGCCTGTCTTCGCCTCGTGATTCAGATTAGCAGCGTGCATCCTGACCTTTACAGAACAAGTCCTTTAATCCAGCCATTTAGCTCCTGTCATCACCTGGTTAATTGGGCCGTTCCTGACGTTTCCTCCTGGCACGTCGTGCAGATGGTGACTAGTGGTTGGGATGTACCTGGGCTGCGGAGGTTGTTTGGTGTGTGCTGAGAGATAAAAGGAAGTAGGCATTTTGTGTCAGTCTGGCTGCACCATGATGAGGACATTCTGAATTTCTTTTTGGTGATATAGATTTGGACATTTTTGACCAACATTTAATATTTTTAGTTGTTTTGCTACAACCTGTTGCACTATGCTTCTGCAGATGATGGATTTATCTACAGAGTTTCATTTGTGTTCTTTATATTTTATAAAATTTGTGACAATGCAGCATAATTTATGAATGATTTACAGTAAAGTCTACCAAACATTATTATTATTTTTATTATATAGAGATCCTCAGGTGGTGAACTCATTCAAATAACCATTTCCTGTCATTTTTTAACATTTTTTTATTTTAAGAAGAAAAATAGAATATAATTTGTTGGCCATGAACTTTGATCTAGCACTCTACCTGGAGCATTCACCCATTCCGGATCAAGTGTTTTTGTATGAAGCTGAATTATCCACTCAGACTTCAGGAAGTCCTTTGATGTAACAGGGTGACACTTTAGAGGCCTCCCTGCAGGCAGAGTTTTGTTTTAGTTGGGCCTTCCTCAATAAAGAACACACAGAAACAGACAGCGGCCTGAGCTGAGATGTTTTTGTGCAGTCAGACGTAGCAGGTGAGGTCCAAGATGCTGTTCCTGCAGGCAGGTTGTGTGTGGTTATGTGTGTGTGTGTGTGTGTGTGTGGGGGGGGGGGGGGGGGGGGGGGGGGGGAAGGGAGAGAGAGAGAGAGAGAGAGAGAGAGAGAGAGAGAGAGAGAGAGAAGGGGCGCTTATCACCGAGGGATGGCTGCTTAATGACACCCACAACACACACACCCAAATAACAGACTCTGCCTTGAGGCTGATGTCCAGAACTGGCTGCCATCATCAGGATTCTGGCAGAAAACACTGAGCAGGAAGTTTTATCAGACTATGACTGAAAATCTTTTGTAAAAATCTACCAAATACATTTAGAATGCTTGAAAAGTCCCAAACATTACAAAATATGTTTTCCTGACTAAGTCTGTATGGAATTATGAGAGGGTTTCGCAATATTTGACACCGTAATCTTCAAATGGACAGAAGTGCAGAATGCAGAACAGGGAGTGTACCATCTGTTGGTAGCTGGAGTTGGCCACCAGCCTCTCCCATGACCTTGGAGAACATCAAGGGGACACTAAGTAAGAATTTTACTGTGAAATAATCACAAAACAGTCTAATGCTGGAAGGACGGTTACATTGAAACCAATTTTTTCTCAGCCGGCTGGGAGTTTGTCTGTTTTTCTTCTTTCAGAAAAGATAAAAGAGGGACAGTCTTTGTTTACAATGTGTGAGCCTACAAGGTTGCGAGCTATTGCTGCAGCGATGGCATTTGTAATCCCACACCAGTCGGCAAAACGCAGCAGTGTTTTGTAAACAGAAGCCACCCAGAAGCTATTTCTTGTACCCCTAAGAATCCACAACATCTTTTTGTTTTTGCTCTAATATCAGGTAAAGCAGGCTAGTGGCTAATGGTGAGCTAATGATGCTAACGGTGAATAAAAAACAAACAGTTGGATTTTAAAACAATCTCAAGCTACTTTGTCAATTAGCAACAACTCGATATTACAGTGAAATGTATTTATTATCCACCTACTGTGTTTGGCACATCTTACTTGTCATCTAGAATCTTCTGACACTGATCTGACAACAGCCTATCCTGGTGAGACTCGTCTGCTCCATTGATGGTTCTCGTTGTGGGGCGGGTTCTACTGTTGTCTTTCAAACAATCTCCACATGATACTGGACAACGAATAATGTGACATACTCACCGCAACGGATGTCGATAAATGAGACAGTCTGCTGTTAAAGAAGGCAAAAATACATCCCTTTTCTAAATAAAGGACTTGAATACATGTTTCAGGTCCTGATTCTAAAGAAGCCCAAGTCCCAATAGTCCAAACTTGATGTCAAAGCCATTTCAAACAAGCTGTCGTCATCTTGTTCCACTCTGTTGCATCACCCCGCCCACCAGACAAATAGAAAGCCCTGATTGGCCGACTAAATGGGTAGAGCACTGTGACTGGTCCACCATTGTGGACTAATAACAGTAATCTATCAGTTTGAATCCCCCATAGAGAGCTGTGATTGGCCAGTCAGAACGCTGCTAGAGCCCGTGAAGGTTCCAATGGAACGTTCTTAGACCAAACATTTCAAAGCAAGAATTTGGTCTACTAGACTAACAACAGCCATGACAGTCACGGAACAGAAGTGAGATCGTGACTTTTTGTTTTGAAAATGGGCTGCAGTAACCAGATATGACCATGGGGTGTCACTCTTACTTCACCCTTACACATTGTACCTTCCAGCAGGTGCAGGAAAATGATGCATGGGGTTAATCTGCCCAAAGTGTAACCTCTGAAGTTTTTCTCTTTCTCATATTTACCTGTATTAGTTATTTTCCTGTTCTCTAAGGGTTTGTGCTGCCTTATCGAGTGAACAGTGAATTTCACCACTGTGGCATCAGTAAAGTCTATTCTATCTTTTCTGGCTCTTAAAGCTTCTGTAGTTTAGATTATTCAGAGTTATTACAGAGAGGCTCTGTTTCATTATAACAGGCTTTGACCAGTTTCTTCTTCTGACTTTATCAACCAAGTAGAAAGAGGTACTAGAACGTCATAATGAAGTGCTTATCAGAGTCGGAGCTTTTGAAGAACTGTCCAAGACTAACACACACACACACACACACACACACACACACACACACACACACACACACACACACACACACACACACACACACAGTGAGACGTTACAGTCAGAAAACACAGATCTAACGAGTGTTTCTGTTTGGCTCCCTGACCTTGTAATTATCTACCAGTGAGACAGTCTGACCTTGTCTGACCTTGATGGTTGCTCTTTTTAGCTACATTTTAGTTTTGATCTCTTCATATTGAATATGTTCTGTAAAGACTGAGGTGAAGCAATGATATTAAAGGCTTCAATCACAGTTTTATGTTCATTAAGAAGCATGTCCCAGTTCTACAGAAGTGGGTGAGTTATAGTCCGACACAAGGTATTACAGCAGGTCAGGGGGAAGGGGACGGCTTGTCAGTGATGAAAGTTTGGAATCACTCTAAAGCTCTTTAGCTAATCTTTTTTAAGCCACTCACAATACGTGCTAAGTGTAGCAGTGCATTACACAGACATGGGGAAAACCATCGCTTTTAGTTATTGGAGTGAGTACGGACAGGACTGGGACGTGCCGCAGGCAGCCAGAGCTGTCAGCTGGAGCAGATGCTAAGGGAACCAGGGTTGGAGTGTGAAAACATGAGGGTGAAACAGGCGGGCCTCATCAATGCAGGTGATGGACTTCACTCAGCGGGCTGACATGGGGACTTGAGCCCTGAACATGTCACACCCCATCTTCAGGGATTAGCCTAAATGCTGGCAATTAGCCCTCCTCACAAGTACGGATAAAAGGATGGATTCACCTGGACCACACGCAGAAACGCCTCGTTTTCACTGTCTTCATTTTCTACATTTTGTTCACACCTCTTCACTTCTGAGGCTGTGAGGTTTCGTAATTCATCACCTGTCTAATTCTAGGATGTAACATAAATATCTCCAGGTTCAGGGTAGCTTTGTTTTATTTGCCAGAAGTGCGGAGAAACAAAAATGTATCTTATTGTGTTGCTTGTTGTTTTAAGAGCTTTTCTCTTTTTGTGTTTTGCAGACTTGTGGTTGGAGCCAGCTGTATCCTTTTGTTTGCCTGGCCTGGCCTGGCCTGGGGGAGTGAGGGGCAGTACACAAACTGTACACCCCTGCAGTAACACTGGTATAAGTTCACCTAGTGTTTTTTTTAAGGATTACACACACTTGTGTTACCTCTGTGGTGCGTCTGTCTGGGTGTTTTATGTTATCGTCTGCTGGCTAAAAGTTCATGGCACCATCTCTCCTCAGTCTATATGCATGTGTGTGTACTGTAACTAATAGCTAACATTCCTATATTTGTGAGGTTTTCCGGGCACGTCCAACCGGGAGGAGACCTAAAGGTAGACCAAGGGCACGGTGGAGGGACTATGTCTCTCACCTGGCCAGGGAACGCCTTGGGATTCCCCCGGAGGAGCTGGCCCAAGTGGCTGGGGAGAGGGAAGTCTGGGCCTCTCGCCTTAGGCTACTGCCCCTAACTAGTAACTAGCATTACTATAACTAATATAACTGTAACTAACATTACTGTAGCTAATATTAGTGTGGCTAACATTACTGTAACTAATATTATTGTAACTAATAGCTAACATTCCTGTATCTAACATTACTGTAACTAACATTACTCTACCTGACATTAATGTAACTAACATTACTGTAACTAATATAACTGTAACTAATATTACCGTAACTAATATAACTGTAGCTAACATTACTGTAACTAATAGCTAACAGTACTGTAACTAATATTACTGTAGCTAACGTTACTGTAACTAATAATATTGTAACTAATAGCTAACATTCCTGTATCTAACATTACTGTAACTAACATTACTGTAGCTAACATTACTTTAGCTAACATTACTGTAATGATCATTACTGTAACTAACATTACTCTACCTGACATTAATGTAACTAACATTACTATAACTAATATAACTGTAACTAATATTACCGTAACTAATATAACTGTAGCTAATGTTACTGTAACTAATATTATTGTAACTAATAGCTAACATTCCTGTATCTAACATTACTGTAACTATTATAACTGTAAGTAACATTACTGTAACTAATATTATTGTAACTAATAGCTAACTTTCCTGTATCTAACATTAGTGTAACTACGGTAACATTACTCTACCTGACATTACTGTATCTAACATTACTGTCAATAACATAACTGTAGCTAACAGTATTGTAGCAATCATAATTATAGCTAATAGTATTTTTAACAGTGATCTGCGCTGCAGTCCTCAGCTTGCTTTAAAAAGATGTGGCTCTTGAGTGTGCAGGCTTCCTCACAGGCATCGGCTTGGACACCACAGTGATGGTTCGCAGTGTCGCCCTTCGTGGTTTTGATCAGGTATTGCTCTCTAATGACCCCTTGCATGATCTGAAGTCTGAATCTGTTCTGTTTAATGTAGATACTCTGTTTAATTTCACACAGCAAATGGCAGGTCTTGTGACAGACTACATGGAAGCTTATGGAACCAGGTTTTTGTGGAGGTCTGTCCCAACAAAAGTGGAGAAGCTGTCCTCTGGAGGCCTGCAGGTGACGTGGACAGACGTTCAGACGGGCAGTGAGCACAAAGACGCGTACGACTCTGTGTTATGGGCAGTTGGTGAGTTCATGTGGGTCATTCTAATCGCAGAACAGCATTTCTGACAGCAAAGGTATCACATGATTTCTGATTAAATTCAGCTAAGAATTAAAATAAGGAATGAGGCTGTGTGAAGCTCCTCTCATGTCCTTACATGCTGGTAGCTTTGCAGGGTCAGCAAATAGAAGAGTCCAGGCAGAAAACAAAGTAATAAAGCCTGAGTGATGGGAATTGGCAGGGGAACTGTTAATCACTTACTGCTGCCTCTCTGCTCGGAGCGGGGCAGGATGCACCCAGGCTTGGGTCATCTCGTTCCCCTCTTTGTTCTCTTTCTGTACCTTCCTGACCGTGCCAGCCCTGCGGAAACCAACCAATCATCTGTCATTGCCAACCATGCGCGCGGCCCTCTGCCTCCCATCGCTAGCAGCCATCTTCCTCCTTTCTGCATTCTCATCTCTATCGTTACAACACATCACAACTAACAATGGAAGGAGCATCTGTCAGGACCGCAGCCGCTGGTTTATTTTTATTGAACGCTTTCCGAAAATCTGACTACAAGCATTTTTTGTTTTATTTGGGAGCGTAAAGCATCAGGGAGGTAGGGTTAGGGTTGTTCAGAGCGAGCAAGAGATACGAGGATGTGCGTGACCTCACCAGTGGGATGATTCATTTTTCCCTCTCGCAGATGAATTCCCAGATCATCCCGGTGTGAGACTGCCGATGAGAGCGCCACTTTTATCCGAGGGATGCGTGAGACGCTGCATCCCGTTAGTTTCCTGCACGCTGTGAGAAAATGTTGAGATTTTGAGAATCAGCAAAAATGAAACAAGGAAAAACATTTTAGTCCATTTCCCCTTCTAGTGCGGCTGGGCCTGTTTGAGTAAATCTTTACATTCACTGCTTCGAGCCAATCCTTCATATCAGTTTAAATTAGCTTTCAGACAGCGTCCATGTCCAGCTAAAACTTCACGAGGGCACCGTGGATTTGCAAATCGGTTTTCGTTTGCATACGGTTCAGTGAGAAGTAGTAACCTGCGCTCTTTGATGTGTGTGTGCAGAAGTTAGGAGCACGAGGCCACTTCCCTTTGTCAGCCAGGGTCCTGGGTCTCTGTGGAGATATTAAAGGCCAGAGGGGACCGGGGACAGTCTCACCACTGTCTACCACTTCCTTCTCCCTGGCTGCACCTCCCTCCACCTTTCCCCTGCTCCTTCCTGACCTCACGGTCGCTCCCCTGCCCAGGTGTGGCCGTACAAACGCAACAGGAAACAGAACATTTCCAAGCTTCCTCTCTGCACACCAACAGTGAGCACATTAGTCCCCTCCCTCTCTGCCCTATACAGTGCTCGAGGATGTCATTAAAAAACATTTCCTCCTTTTAAAGAGTATTTGCTCGTCTGTTTTACACAAGCGGCAACTTCCTACAAAAATCAAGCCTTTGTGGAAGTGTCTAGAGTTCCTCAAATGGCCACTTGGGAGGGGCTCTAAGGGCCAGGCACTTCCAGAAAGGCAGACAGGCTCCGTACCACCTCACTGAGTCGTAGACTCGGGGTTTATGTTGGGTTTCTGACTGAAACCTGTCTTTTTGGGGATAAAGTTAGCAAGAAAGTCACCTTTATTTAGATTTCTATGTTCCACGTAGAAATTCAAACGGCCTCGTCATCACCCCAAAAACAAGAGAGGCAAATAAAACACAACCTAAAGATGTATTTTTTTAATTTTTACACTAAATAAAATCCTGTAAAACCCACACCGCCTCCTCATCAGGCCCGTGGGGCATGGTTTGGTCAGAACAGGGCTTCTACAGTTGGATCTGTACACAGGTTAGGGTTACACAGGAGACTTAATTCTGCTTTGGCAGAAAGTTGTTGCTTTTCTTTTCACTCATAAATGAGTCATGTTTACATAAAATGGTAGCAGAAATGAACAATTATTGGTTTAAATTAATGATTGTAGAAAAGCCCATCGTTTAAAAAAAACCCATTACTATTCCATTATTTCTTTTTACTTTTATATCTGCTCTAAAACATAAACGCCACAAGCGTTGCATCACGCTGCATCTAAAGATCTTTTTTGGCTTAAATTGAATCCCGTTATCATGTTTCTGGCGTTGTGCAGGAGCCGTTCCTCCAACGATAACAAGCTGCCGTCACTCCGCTCTCCCCTTTTATCGCTGTTCATTTGTTTACTTTGATCAGATAAGCTGCCGGCACTCATTCTAATGTGCGATCTTTGTTGTGGCTGCTTGGTTTAGTTTCACAACAGGCTTTGTTCAGATGTGTAAGCGTGTCCGCGCTCCGGTCGGATCTGTTCGTCCAGCCCAGACGGGAGCGGATGGAGTTCTCCGGCAAGGAACGACTGGAGTCTGCAAAACTCTTTCACTTACATTGTTAATAAACACAAAAGCAAACAAACTGGCACTGCCTTCTTTTCCAGATTCCTGCAGCGTTATTCAAATGTGGAATTCAAAGTTAAAATAACTTTTTGAAAATCAACTTGATCAGATATCTTAACCAAATGTTGGTTTAAGCGTTTTCGATCTGCTCAAAGTTCAGGATTGTATTAAAAAAGAACCTGAAGGTTTTTTCACTTGTCATCAGGAATAAAAATCGTAGTGTGGAAGCGGATCTTTATCACACGTTTGACTGGACTTTACTAGAGCTGGGACAAGCTTGAGACAGGTAAATATTCAGCTGTGCTTTGGGGAATCGGCTGTGACGTTCTGACTTCCTCTCCCTCCTCGTTCTCTGTGCTCGATCCCATTCAGCCACACATGTTCCCTGAAGCCTCCCCCCCGGGGGTGGGTGGGTGGGGGGGTGTTGTTATACTTTGGCTCCAGCCAGGAAAAGGGGTCTCAGGGGTTTGTTATTTTTGCCGTTCGATAGCATCTACACGGGTTCCTCAGGCCCAGGTGTTTATTATGCTACCCAGGCAGGCTGTGAGGAGCCATGTTGAGGAGGGTGGAGCATGTGGTCCAAACTCCATCGCCATGGAGACTCGGCGTCGACAGCATCAGTCAGCCATCCCCCAGGAAGTGTCAGAATTTGCACCCTTTGGGTCTCCCAGGGGTTTGTGAGATGCCCTTTCCCAGCTGCTGCTCCTCCTTGGACGTCTCTCCTCAGTAGAGCAGATGTTGTTGGAGACCGTTTAGCTGTACTTTAACAAATCCAGTCACATGACTCGTAGTTATCCAAGCCAACGTTTTAGGTTCACCAGTTCCTGTGGCAGCTTTAAGGATCTGCACAGGGCATCCTTCTGGTTCTTTGGTCTTCTGGCTTTTTGTGAAAACATCACTTTTAGTACAGATTTTTATATTCTGTAGCATAAAATTGTGTGTGTGTGTGTGTGTGTGTGTGTGTGTGTGTGTGTGTGTGTGTGTGTGTGTGTGTGTGTCGTCTCCTGTCATCAGAATAGTAATCTCATATTGCCCCTCTGTTGTTTCCTCCTGTTAACCTTCAGGTCGAGCTCCTGAAACCAAAGCCCTCGGCCTCGACCAGCTCGGCGTGCAGCTCAACAAGGACACGGGGAAAATAGTCGTAGGTGCTGATGAAGCCACCTCGGTACCAAACGTCTACGCGTTCGGTGACATCAGCGAGGTAGGAAGTGCCAACAGACACCTCGCCTATGTAGTCCACACCCATCCCAGTGACTAAAGATGTAAAACGCTGACACATGTCAGATATTAATCCTTATTTTAAATGTCCTCTAGACCTTTTATCAAATGTCCAGAAGTATTTTGTATTACACGCTGTTCTCCTTTATTTCCATTTGAGCTTAATAATGTTCTTTTCTGTCCCAGCATGTCTGATGAGTACACACAGCAGAAGGCATTAGCAGCGTTTCCTTTTTATAGCATGCTATATCAGCCAGCATTAATTCCAACCACCTGTTGCCTTTAATACCAGAGTTAAAACTTTCATCTCTTTGTAGATTTTTATTTCCATTCAGGTCAAATCTGAAAAATATCATTAAACAAGATCTCATGTAATAATGCAGAATCGTGCACCACCTGTTGGCTTTCTGATACGTGTTCTGAACGAGTCTCAGCGACAGTCCCGTCACATTTTAACACAATGTTTATAAAATAAACTGAGCTGATGCCACTGTTTGTGTCTGTTGAGGTCGATTAACATGCAGCAGGTTAACTCCAACCCTAGCCCTAACCCACCAGCGGTTCGTTTCAGGTTGTTTTAATACAAATCATTGAGTGGTTCGTTAGATGTTTTGCAGACAGACGGATGAGGTAGAAATCCCTTTTTAAACAAAAACTTCTGTATTCTCACTTAAAAAGCCTTTCTCCAGCCATTTTCTGTTTTTTAAACACAAGTATTAGTTTAAAGTTCCACATATCCCATGCAGACCTAGGAAGTATTCAGACATAAAGTTTTTCTACCTGCAGGAACCTGAACATTACGTTGCACGATCACTCAGCCTGGAACCACAAGTTAAACCTGCTGCATTGTTTTCTTTTGTTTTACTACAACCAACTGTGGACCTCCTTCCTGTCTCTCACACACACACACACACACACACACACACACACACACACACACACACACACACACACACACACTGTGATTGACAGCTCACTGTAACAAGTTGTTCTCTCGTGTCTCTTAGTTTATAATTTTATTCATCTTTTACGTAAAGGTTTGTGTTTTGTTTGTTTGTTTGTTTGTTTTTTTGTGCCATGCTATGCATATGGCTGATGACGCACGGCGTCTGGCATGTAAACAGTAGATGGAATGCCGGAGAGCACATCCACCTTCATGCAGAGGCGTAGGAGATGTTTATAGACAACAGGATGTGTGGTGGTAATTTAACAGGTTGGAGTCATGTCTTTAAAAATTGCCCTGCAGCCCTGCTGTTTCCTGCAGAGCTGTGTGTGTGTGTGTGTGTGTGTGTGTGTGTGTGTGTGTGTGTGTGTGTGTGTGTGTGTGTGTGTGTGTGTGTGTCTCCACAGCTTTTCATCTGTCTACTGGAAAATGTTCAAATCAATAAAGACGGACAGCAACGGCACTGGTGCACGTTTCTTAATGCTTACGAAATTATGTGTTCACACAATTCTGCCTCAAGTTAAAAACATAATCTATTTCTTATTCTTCTAGGTTTAAATAGTCTTTTGTCATTTTACTGTTTCCAGATCAGCTGTGAGCATGCTGCTTCTGCAGCCGCTGAAGTGAAGGAGCAAACAAAGCTTAGATAAGGGTGTTGGACCGGTTTTCAGAGATAACGTTCTAGAGCACTTTGTGTTTTCATGTTCAAGAGTTGGTAACAATATCAAAAAGTTCTGAGCTTGTGTTAAAGGAGAGAAAGCTGGGAGCTAAAACAGAGCTGCAGACCTTCACAGGAACACCGAGTGCTGACATGACAGTCTTACAGTTGGTTAGGCATTTTGGGCAGACGCCCGTTGACTAAAGGGAATAAGTGAATCATTAGTAACAGATGGGAGCAGAATCCTTCTACTGAAAATATAATCAAAGATCATCAGAATCATCTAAACGGATTTAAGATCTTACGAGAAATGTTAAATTACTATTTATTTCCTCAAAGATGAGATCCTAAAGGTGATGAGGTTATTTGGAGATATTTTATATGCATTTATGGTAAATTAAGAGTGCAAACTTTAAAATAAATCATTAAATTAATTAAAAGCTTGAATAAGCTGTCGCTCTTCATTCCAGAGTTAGACAGATTTATTGATGTGATGCATTTATAGCTGTTTCAGTTAGGGATGCAACAATGCCACTTTTTTTCCAAACCGATACGATACCGATACTTGCATCTGAGTACTCACCGATACCAATTACCGATACGGATACTTCTACCACACAAAAAAAAAGCAATGAATTGGAATACAGGTTTTATTTTCTTCTGTTTTCTATAGGAAAAGACTGTGAGATAGATAAAAAGTAATATAAGTGATCACAAAACTAAAATATTATGTGAACAGAAATGACAAGTTACAGTGAAGTCACTTTCAAGCAACTGCATTGGTATCATTTACTGGTACCTGTTAACTTTTACCGATACCGATGCTGGTATCAGTATCTGTATCGGCACCGATACCAGTATCGTATCGGTGCATCCCTAGTTTCAGTCAAACCTTAAAGATGATGTCACATGAGCTACTACAACACACATCTGGCTAAACATCTGTTAAACTCACTCAGTTAAAGCTGCTTTGTTTTCCATGAGATATTTAAAAGAATGCATTAAAGCACACAAAGGCAAAAACATTATACCTACCTGTTGCCTAATACACCATCTTGGTTTAAATTTGTCTTTGATCATCACCGTCAGGAGTTTCATCGTGTGATGAAAATTCAACACTTGAGTTGAACAAAAAGCAACATGGAGTAACTTTAGATTTCTTCTGTTTTAGGGTCGTCCTGAGTTGACCCCAACGGCCATTAGGGCGGGAAAGCTGCTCGCCCGAAGGCTGGCTGGTCAGAGCGGCGAGCTCATGAACTATGACAACGTAAGATACGCACGCATGCACACACACACACACACACACACACACACACACACACACACACACACACACGAACGATACTTTCCCTTCTTTTCTCCACTTCTTTCCTCTTTCTTGTCTTCTGTTTATTGTTTTTAAGCCAAATCCGAGACTAAATCACGAGCATTTCTGCTTTTATTTGGGTGAACGCTCCTCCTCACCTCCCTCTATCATGCTGCTAACCACACTTTAGGAGTGATTCATGGCATAATAAGCCACCTTTTCCCAAAATCTCATCAATCTTCATCACTCGTTGTCTGTATGCATCCTTTAACGGGTTCTAATGAAGGTTTCATTATAGTTGTTTTGACGTGGAAGGTTAAGGATTTGTTTTGAGTCTGTATTTGATGTTTTTTGTAACTGAAATCTGTTTAAGAGAAGCCATAGTTTTTATGGAGGAGCTCCAGTGAATTAAACAGCTGAGGGCCCTCCAGCCACATCCACGTAAGATCCAGCGTTTTTTGGGTGTTTGTTTTTCTGTGTGACAGGTGGCCACGACCGTGTTCACCCCTCTGGAGTACGGCTGCGTCGGTCTGTCTGAGGAGGAGGCCGTTAGGAGGCAGGGAGAGGATGGAGTAGAGGTACCATCTGTCTCCGCTGTCCACAACTTTACCACGTTCAAGTTCTTATTGATAATAAGAACTACATAAATACATAAACATTCAACTTTCTTTCAAAATAAAGACATGTTTTTGTTTTGTAGATATTTGGATGCAGTTATTCAGCCGGCTGTTGAAACAAAACAACTAATCTGATTATAAACAGAAGCAGCTGTGCTTTAAATTCAGAGATATCAATATTTTACCTGAACAAACCAGTGTTGGTTGGTAATTGTGTATGTTTCTGTACACAGCCGGTGTTATTTGCCTGTTCCCATCCCACAGACAAACAGATGTACAATGCCCCACAACAGCTACACAAACATTGACACACACACGTGCACAGTGAAGTCGTAAGTGGCCCTTTATTTTACCCGCTTGTGTACGTGCACAATATGCCAGATGCTGGCAACACCTGCAGGAGACGGAGGATAAATGGATGAGCCAGCGAGCCGGGGCTCCTGCCTGAGTGACAGGCGAGCAGGAGGTCTGATTGAGGTGTGTATGAGGTGATGACAGGAGCGCTGAGATCTGAGGAGGAGCAGCCGGATCGGCCCCTAACAGCTGCACGGCCCTCGCAACTTGTGTAGGCACGTTGGCTCCTACATGAAACACACGACGCTCAGCGAGAGCTTAGGGCCTGACTGTGTGAGAGATGTGGGATTTCTTTTATAAAAAACGAAGCAAAGCATTAATACACAAGAGTAGAAAGTATAAATACACAAGAGTAGAAAGCATTAATACACAAGAGTAAAAAGTATAAATACACAAGAGTAGAAAGCATTAATACACAAGAGTAAAAAGTATAAATTCGCAAGAGTAGAAAGCATTAATACACAAGAGTAGAAAGCAATAATACACAAGAGTAGAAAGTATAAATACACAAGAGTAGAAAGCATTAATACACAAGAGTAGAAAGCAATAATACACAAGAGTAGAAAGTATAAATTCGCAAGAGTAGAAAGCATTAATACACAAGAGTAGAAAGCAATAATACACAAGAGTAAAAAGTATAAATACACAAGAGTAGAAAGCATTAATACACAAGAGTAAAAAGAATAAATTCGCAAGAGTAGAAAGCATTAATACACAAGAGTAGAAAGCAATAATACACAAGAGTAGAAAGTATAAATACACAAGAGTAGAAAGCATTAATACACAAGAGTAGAAAGCAATAATACACAAGAGTAAAAAGTATAAATTCGCAAGAGTAGAAAGCATTAATACACAAGAGTAGAAAGAAATAAGACACAAGAGTAAAAAGTATAAATTCACAAGATTAGAAAGCATTAATACACAAGAGTAGAAAGTATAAATACACAAGAGTAGAAAGTATAAATTCAAAAGAGTAGAAAGTATAAACACACAAGAGTAGAAAGTATAAATACACAAGAGTAGAAAGCATTAATACACAAGAGTAAAAGCATAAATACAGAAGAGTAAAAAGTATAAATACACAAGAGTAGAAAGTATAAATACACAAGAGTAAAAGCATAAATACAGAAGAGTAAAAAGTTTACAAACATAAGAGTAGAAAGTATAAATACATAAAAGTAGAAAGTATAAATACATAAGAGTAGAAAGTATACAGACATAAGAGTAGAAAGTATAAATACATAAGAGTATAAAGTATAAATACATAAGTGTAGAAAGTATACATACATAAGAGTAGAAAGTATAAATACATAAGAGTAGAAAGTATAAATACATAAAAGTAGAAAGTGTAAATACATGAGAGTCGAAGGTATAAATACATAAGAGTAGAAAGTATAAATACATAAGGGTAGAAAGTATAAATACATAAGGGTAGAAAGTATAAATACACAAGAGTAGAAAGTATAAATACACAAGAGTAGAAAGTATAAATACATAAGAGTAGAAAGTATAAATACATAAGAGTAGAAAGTATACACACATAAGAATAAAAGCATAAGTACACAAGAGGAAAATGTATAAATACCTAAGAGTAGAAAGTTTACATACATAACAGTAAAAAGTATACATACATAATAGTAAAAGCATAAGTACACAAGAGTAGAAAGCATAAATACACAAGAGTAAAAGGTATGCATACATAAGAGTAGAAAGTATACATACATAAGAGTAAAAAGTATACATACATAAGAGTAAAAGTATAAGTACACGAGTAAAAAGTATAAATACACAATAGTAGAAAGCATAAATACACAAGAGTAAAAAGTATAAATACACAAGAGTAGAAAGTATAAATACACAAGAGTAAAAGCATAAATACAGAAGAGTAAAAAGTTTACAAACATAAGAGTAGAAAGTATAAATACATAAAAGTAGAAAGTATAAATACATAAGAGTAGAAAGTATACATACATAAGAGTAGAAAGTATAAATACATAATAGTATAAAGTATAAATACATAAGTGTAGAAAGTATACATACATAAGAGTAGAAAGTATAAATCGGGAAGAGTAGAAAGTATAAATACATAAGAGTAGAAAGTATAAATACATAAAAGTAGAAAGTGTAAATACATGAGAGTCGAAGGTATAAATACATAAGAGTAGAAAGTATAAATACATAAGGGTAGAAAGTATAAATACATAAGGGTAAAAAGTATAAATACACAAGAGTAGAAAGTATAAATACACAAGAGTAGAAAGTATAAATACATAAGAGTAGAAAGTATAAATACATAAGAGTAGAAAGTATACACACATAAGAATAAAAGCATAAGTACACAAGAGGAAAATGTATAAATACCTAAGAGTAGAAAGTTTACATACATAACAGTAAAAAGTATACATACATAATAGTAAAAGCATAAGTACACAAGAGTAGAAAGCATAAATACACAAGAGTAAAAGGTATGCATACATAAGAGTAGAAAGTATACATACATAAGAGTAAAAAGTATACATACATAAGAGTAAAAGTATAAGTACACGAGTAAAAAGTATAAATACACAATAGTAGAAAGCATAAATACACAAGAGTAAAAAGTATAAATACACAAGAGTAGAAAGTATAAATACACAAGAGTAAAAGCATAAATACAGAAGAGTAAAAAGTTTACAAACATAAGAGTAGAAAGTATAAATACATAAAAGTAGAAAGTATAAATACATAAGAGTAGAAAGTATACATACATAAGAGTAGAAAGTATAAATACATAAGCGTATAAAGTATAAATACATAAGAGTAGAAAGTATAAATACACAAGGGTAGAAAGTATAAATACACAAGAGTAGAAAGCATAAATACACAAGAGTAGAAAGTATAATATATAAGAGTAGAAAGTATACATACATAAGAGTAGAAAGTATACATACATAATAGTAAAAAGTATACATACATAATAGTAAAAGCATAAGTACACAAGAGTAAAAAGTATAAATACACAAGAGTAGAAAACATAAATACACAAGAGTAAAAGGTATGCATACATAAGAGTAGAAAGTGTACATACATAAGAGTAAAAAGTATACACACATAAGAATAAAAGCATAAGTACACAAGAGGAAAATGTATAAATACCTAAGAGTAGAAAGTATACATACATAAGAGTAGAAAGTATACATACATAAGAGTAGAAAGTGTAAATACATAAGAGTAGAAAGTGTACATACATAAGAGTAAAAGCATAAATACACAAGAGTAGAAAGTATAAATACATAATGTTAGAAAGTATAAATACACAAGGTTAGAAAGTATAAATACACAAGAGTAAAAAGTATAAATTCACAGGAGTAGAAAGTATAAATACATAAGGTTAGAAAGTATAAATACATAAGGTTAGAAAGTATAAATACATAAGAGTAGAAAGCATAAATACACAAGAGTAAAAAGCATAAATACACAAGAGTAAAAAGTATAAATACACAAGAGTAGAAAGCATAAATACACAACAGTAGAAAGTATAAATACAAAAGAGTAGAAAGTATAAGTACATAAGAGTAGCAAGTAAACATAAATAAGAGTAGAAGGTGTACATTCATAAGAGTAAAAGCGTAAATACACAAGAGTAAAAAGTATAAATACACAATATTAGAAAGTATAAATACACAAGATTAGAAAATATAAATACACAAGAGTAGAAAGAATAAATACACAAGAGTAGAAAGAATAAATACATAAGGTTAGAAAGTATAAATACATAAGGTTAGAAAGTATAAATACATAAGGTTAGAAAGTATATATGCATAAGGTTAGAAAGTATAAATACACAAGAGTAGAAAGTATAAATACACAAGAGTAGAAAGCATAAATACACAAGAGTAGAAAGTATAATATATAAGAGTAGAAAGTATACATACATAAGAGTAGAAAGTATACATACATAATAGTAAAAAGTATACATACATAATAGTAAAAGCATAAGTACACAAGAGTAAAAAGTATAAATACACAAGAGTAGAAAACATAAATACACAAGAGTAAAAGGTATGCATACATAAGAGTAGAAAGTGTACATACATAAGAGTAAAAAGTATACACACATAAGAATAAAAGCATAAGTACACAAGAGGAAAATGTATAAATACCTAAGAGTAGAAAGTGTACATACATAAGAGTAGAAAGTATACATACATAAGAGTAGAAAGTGTAAATACATAAGAGTAGAAAGTGTACATACATAAGAGTAAAAGCATAAATACACAAGAGTAGAAAGTATAAATACATAATGTTAGAAAGTATAAATACACAAGGTTAGAAAGTATAAATACACAAGAGTAAAAAGTATAAATTCACAGGAGTAGAAAGTATAAATACATAAGGTTAGAAAGTATAAATACATAAGGTTAGAAAGTATAAATACATAAGAGTAGAAAGCATAAATACACAAGAGTAAAAAGCATAAATACACAAAAGTAAAAAGTATAAATACACAAGAGTAGAAAGCATAAATACACAACAGTAGAAAGTATAAATACAAAAGAGTAGAAAGTATAAGTACATAAGAGTAGCAAGTAAACATAAATAAGAGTAGAAGGTGTACATTCATAAGAGTAAAAGCGTAAATACACATGAGTAAAAAGTATAAATACACAATATTAGAAAGTATAAATACACAAGATTAGAAAATATAAATACACAAGAGTAGAAAGAATAAATACACAAGAGTAGAAAGAATAAATACATAAGGTTAGAAAGTATAAATACATAAGGTTAGAAAGTATAAATACATAAGGTTAGAAAGTATAAATGCATAAGGTTAGAAAGTATAAATACACAAGAGTAGAAAGTATAAATACACAAGAGTAGAAAGTATACATACACAAGAGTAGAAAGTATACATACACAAGGGTAGAAAGTATAAATACACAAGAGTAATAAGTATAAATACACAAGAGTAATAAGTATAAATACACAAGAGTAATAAGTATAAATACACAAGAGTAGAAAGTATAAATACATAAGGTTAGAAAGTATAAATACACAAGAGTAGAAAGTATAAATACATAAGATTAGAAAGCATAAATACATGAGTAGAAAGCATAAATACACAAGAGTAAAAGCATAAATACACAAGATTAGAAAGTATAAATACATAAGGTTTGAGAGTATAAATACATAAGAGTAGAAAGTATACATACATAAGAGTAAAAGCATAAATACAGAAGAGAAAAAAGTATAAATTCACAAGAGTAGAAAGTATACATACATAAGAGTAAAAGCATAAATACAGAAGAGAAAAAAGTATAAATTCACAAGAGTAAAAGCATAAATATACAAGAGTAAAAGCATAAATACACAAGAGTAAAAAGTTTAAGTACATAAGAGTAGCAGGTAAACATAAATAAGAGTAGAAAGTGTACATTCATAAGAGTAAAAGCATAAATACACAAGAGTAAAAAGTATAAATAAACAAGAGTAGAAAGTATAAATACACAAGAGTAGAAAGTATAAATACACAAGAGTAAAAAGTATAAATACACAAGAGTAGAAAGTAAAAATACATGAGTAGAACGCATAGATACACAAGAGTAAAAGCATAAATACACAAGATTAGAAAGTATAAATACACAAGAGTAGAAAGAATAAATACACAAGAGTAGAAAGAATAAATACATAAGGTTAGAAAGTATAAATACATAAGGTTAGAAAGTATAAATACATAAGGTTAGAAAGTATAAATGCATAAGGTTAGAAAGTATAAATACATAAGAGTAGAAAGTATACATACACAAGGGTAGAAAGTATACATACACAAGGGTAGAAAGTATAATTACACAAGAGTAATAAGTATAAATACACAAGAGTAATAAGTATAAATACACAAGAGTAATAAGTATAAATACACAAGAGTAGAAAGTATAAATACATAAGGTTAGAAAACATAAATACACAAGATTAGAAAGTATAAATACATAAGGTAAGAATGTATAAATACATAAGAGCAGAAAGTATACATACATAAGAGTAAAAAGTATACATACATAAGAGTTAAAGTATAAATACACAAGAATAAAAAGTATAATACACAAGAGTAGAAAGTATAAATGCACAAGAGTACAAAACAATTAGATCATATCTTTAATCTTCTGAATTTTTGCGGTGAAAGATAATTTCATGTTTGCAGTACACACACTTTGTACAAAGTATTTCAGTAATACCTCACTGTTTATATGTGTTCTCTATATTTTTGTGTGTGTAGGTTTATCATGCTTTCTACAAGCCTCTAGAGTTCACTGTTGCAGGGCGGGACGCCAGCCAGTGTTACATAAAGGTTAGTGTGTGTGTGTGTGTGTGTGTGTGTGTGTGTGTGTGTGTGTGTGTGTGTGTGTGTGTGTGTGTGTGTGTGTGTGTGTGTGTGTGTGTGTGTGTGTGTGCGTGTGTGTGCGTGTGCGTGTGTGTGTGTGTGTGTGCGTAAAGAATTAGATTTTAAATTGTTATTTTAGGCTGAAACCCTAAATGAGTCCCTCCAGATGCTCTAATGATAATTTTATTGTTGTCTGTTGTGTTTCTTCTCCAGATAAAACACTAAAACCATGTACTGAATTTTCTGTTTATGTAATTTAATTCTGTTAGGTGATATGCGAGCGTGGCGGCGATCAGAAGATCTTGGGTTTGCACTTGATCGGTCCGAATGCTGGAGAGGTCATTCAGGGATTTTCTATGGGTTTGCAGTAAGTTTATTGTATCCACATCTACAGTTTCTGTTTGGTTGCTTTTGCATTCCATACTCCTAAAACCTTGCTGCTGTGGTAACCCGACTCTTCTCAGAACCACTTTAGTAGACACGTCCTGATATATTTTGATAAATCCGTTTTTGAGTCTCAGATCTCAAAATCATAAAAGTATCATCAGGTTTGTTCTTCTCTGACTGTCTTTATTTAAAGCTAATGTGATAAACATTATGAAGTATCGGTGTTATTTGTGTGTTGTAGGTGTGGGGCTACGTATACCCAGCTGCTGCAGACTGTAGGAATCCACCCCACCTGTGCTGAAGAGGTGGTGAAGATCCACATCACCAAACGCTCCGGCTTAGACCCCACGGTCACTGGCTGCTGAGGCTAAACACCTCGGTCTCTGAGCCAGCACGGAGCACACACGCTCCCCAGTAGCGTCTTTTTTATCTCTTCATTTTCACGTGGTGCCGGATCGATCTATTCTGTCCCTCCCTGGCTGCTGCGGCTGGTATCTCTGTCATTTGATAGCCAGACTGTTATTGCCCCGCGTGTGATCTCAGAGCAGGTTAATGAGAGCCTGGTCACTGAGCAGGCATCCGTCATATAAACAGGCTCATCAGTCAGAATTAAGTTATGCATTCAGGATTTTGAGCAAACCGCAGGAGAAATTCAAATCAAATGTTCGTCTGTATTTACATTCTACAAATATTGTTGTTTCTCTGGCTGTACTTCCTGTCCATTAGTCTTGGAGGTGACACATACCACACACTCCCTCTCCACCACCACCGTGACACTGATGGATGGCCCCAGGGCCGTCGCTGCAGCGACACCGCTCTATTTCCCATGGACACACACAAATAGTCGGTTCGCGTCAGTCAGCCGGCGAAGGCCTGGCAGAATCCAGCAGACCCCTCCCTCCCTTGCCCTTCTACACTCACATGCATAAAACACAACACTAAAACTACAAATACGAGCTGTCAGAAGCTGTGTGGATGCCACAGCCCAGGCTCACAATTCAAATAAAAACAGTGCTGCAATTTATTTCTGCTGTACTTCTCAGACTCGCCCAAAGGCGGCACTGTTGCCCTCCGGTTCTCACAGTTTTGACCGGGGAAGGAGAGAAGGGTGGGATGAAGGAGTCTGTATAAAACATAAGCCTCGAACATATTCAGGTTGCACATTTGAGCTCTCTAATCCCCATGATTCTAGATGGAGCTGGAAGGCCGTCTGGCTTTATTGGTGCCAAACTGATAAGGGTTATCTGTTGTATACTTACATGGATGGCAGGTTAGCCCTCAGGAGTCATCACCCTTGAAGATAAGTCCAGTTGTTTGTATCAATAAAGCATTAATGGGCCCCTGCCGTTTGCCAAAAGTGCTCAAGTGTTCAACCTGCTGCCTGCGTCGGACATCTTGGATTTATTAAGTCGATGAGGAGCGAGGAAGAGGACTGTCAATAATGAGCAGAAACTGAAGAACCTGCGAGCGGGCTGCCAGCTGTAGTTTATTTTTATTTGAAGTCTAATCTGCCCGGTCTGATTAATGAATCTGATGAGGGCAGTGACAGAGCGCCATGAGATGGAGAGATGAAAAAGAGGGAGAGCTACCAGGTTTATTTGGGCCTGAAGAGAGAGGGCTGAGGACCAGCCCGGGGTTTGGAGTTGAGGGGGGGGGTTCCTGTGTGCTCCGTTCAGGGCCGAGGTGCTGACTGAAGGACCCTGACCTCCGCTCAGCAGGAACAGCTTGACTCTATCACTTGGAGCACAGAGGGCTCATATGCTGGGGCACAGCACGGCGCGGGGGGTGGGGGGGGGGGGTGTATAATATCTGTTAGCTTTGCTCTTCCTTTATGTTTTATCTGACACCTCATGTAACCCTCATTCTTTAGCATCGTGTTTTATGCTTCATGGAATTTAAATTCGACTTGTTTATCGTTTACTCCCAGCCAAAGATTTGCCCCGTTAGCCTCAGCTGTGCTCCACGGTGGGGGGTGGAGGTGGAGGAGGGGGGTCAGGGCTCAGCTTTCATGCCGGCCAGCTAATGATGACCTGCGTTAAAACCCAAACCTGGGGAGCGTGGGCCTGATGTCACCTGGCCACAAACTTTATCTTCTGGAAGAGGAGAGGCGGTTAAACTTTCAGCAGAACTTTGAGATTTATAATTTATGTTTAAGCTGAAAACGTGAGATTAAAGTGAGAAAATGTCACCACGGACTGAGTCGTGTTCTTGTTATCTGACTGAATAAAAACAAAGTGTGTTGCCCCACAGAGAAAACAAACAGGTAGTTATGGTCAGAAAAATTACAATCGTTTAATAAATTAAAAAGTATAAGGAATATATATATACATACATTATATATATATATATATATATATATATATATATATATATATATATATATATATATATATATATATATATATATATATATATATATATAAATTCATCTTGACTGTTTATCAGATCATTTATTCAACCGACCAGGCTCTGTCCAAGAGTTACGTACCAAAATCTGTCTAAATCAGGGGTGTCCAGCCTTTTCAGGACCAGGGCAGTGATCTTCATATTAGAAGTCCTCGCAGGCCACAGATATGTTTTCTTCATTTATAAATGCAAAAATTATTTTAAGGGGATTTTTAAATATTTCTATTCTATCCATGTTCGTGTGCTTCTCTGGGGTCAGGTCATGGGGGCAGTAGCCTAAGCCGAGAGGCCCAGACTTCCCTCTCCCCAGCCATTAGGGGTAGCTCTTCCGGGGGAATCCCAAGGCGTTCCCTGGCCAGCCGAGAGACATAGTCCCTCCAGCGTGTTGACATGGAGGAGCAGCAGGTCTACTCTGAGCTCCTCCCGGTTGACCGAACTTCTCACCCTATCTCTAAAGGAGAGCTCAGACTCCCTGCAGAGAAAACTCATTTCTGCCACTTGTGGCCGCGTTCTGGTTCTTTCAGTCACTACCCAAAACCCGTGACCGTAGGTCGCCTTCTGGCTCAGCTCTATCTTCACCACAACAGATCGGTACAACGCCCACATCACTGCAGACGCAGCACCAATCCACCTATCTATCTCACGTTTGATCTTTCCCTCTTTCATAATATATATATGTGGATGTGTGTGTATATATATATTTGCATTTCTAGAATATAAATATATATACATACGTATGTATATATGTATATACATATATATATATATATATATGTGTATATATATATATATATATATATATATGTGTGTGTGTGTGTGTGTGTGTGTGTGTGTGTGTGTGTGTAGTTCTATTCCTCAAAATAAATATATTAATATGCATTTTAGTAAAAATCTTAGAAATTTTCTATTTACATCACCTCCTGCTGCGAAGACTAAATTCAACATTCTAGAAATGCGAGCATCGGCCCACACAGAATCATTCCGAGGGCCGCAAATGGTCCCCAGGCTGTACTTCGGACATGCCTGGCCTCAGTGGTTTTATTCTCATGTATATAACTTGTTGCTTGCAGCCCAAATAGGTCCGTTAAGGTCAGTTAAAGCATCCATTCAGAGGCACTCAAAATTTTTTAATGCCTCTAAATGAATTTTTACCTAGAATTCCTTGAATGAGGGCCACCGACTATCATGCCAAATTTTAGAGTTGGAGAAAATAAACATTTGTGCATTTGGATGAAATCATCATCGTGCAACATTCTTACTGAACATCACAAGGACAGATGCTATTAGCACTCAGGGTTTGTGTTCTCAGTCAGCTACATTATCAGATGGTGTGTTATCACTTGCCTTAGATGTTATTTTTGGTTGTTTGAGTAAATTTTTCCCCAAATTCCTCCTTTAACATCTCCATAGAAACAGGAATGTTTATCTGCCAGGGTTTGTCACATGGCTCGGTGTTAATATTAGGCGGCATCAGAGCTGATGGTCACACTTTGACCCTGGCTCGTCTCCTCTGACAGCCATCCCTGCTCTGCAGCTCTGTCACTCAGCCCTCTACAACAACAATAGCACGAATTCCAGCATGTTTGTTTGGTTAAGGAGAGCTCTCTGAAACCCCTGAACCTCCTCAAGATCCACAGCCTCGCTCACTCGGAGAATGAAGCCGGTGTCGGCATCTCTACAGACAGTTCGCCCTCTGTCTCGAGAACACGCGGCCCCATTTAGCAATTGTGTCTCTTCTGTCGCTGCACAACGGAGCAAACAGGTTAAATCCACCTTGAAATGCACTTAGTAGATCATGTCAACATGTCAGGGTCCGCTCGGTTCTCTGCTCCGCCTTAATCCAGCCCATTGAACACTGACAGTTGTCTGTGAGTCAGACATTCACAGGGCCTTTGTCACCTCGTGTCCTGAGCTCCGGCGGCTCGGCTGGAAAAGCAGAACCTCACAAACATGTTAAAACACACTTGCTGAGTATACAGCGGTGCAGTTGGAGCTAGAGACGGAGGAGAGGGAGAAACCGATACATACCTTGTGTAAACACTGGAGGGTGAACAGGGGAGCTATGGAAAGAGCTCAACCTTGGTGAGGATTATGTCTGAAGGATGAATGGAGGACAAACCTGACTGCACTGTTTGGTCTGCTTGTTTCTGGCTCAGGAGCTGTCAGGGAAGATCTCAACAGAGTTTAATGTTTAAAAAAATAGTGATGGGGACACCCCCCACCCCACCCCCCGATGATTCAACCTGTGAATTTTTGCTAAATACGAGACTAAAGAACAAAATGATTATTTCCAGTTGCAACATAACAAACTCATCTCTGCAGTGATCAACCAACCGCTGATGTTTTTATCCAGACTTGACCGTTTTGCATTGCTACTCCATCAGGAATGACGAGGCTGACCTGTTTGTGTCATCATATTTCACTTTTCCTCCCTTCTTCAGATGCAGCTCTCCTGTCAGGGAGGGGGTCGTTTTGGTAGTACGGCAGAGGTGAGGGCCTGTGAAATGAGCTTATCTGACTCCTGATAAGAACAGGACACCCTCAGGAATGGTCTAAACTCAGTACACATGGCTGCTGCAGCAGGGTTCTGCTGAGTGGAAAATGGGATGTACCGTAATGTCGCGGCTTAGCTTGGTCTGCAGTTCCAATACCACCAACTATCACCAGGTGCGTGAAGCTTGTGGTTGAGACCCCCAGAAGCCATTGGGGGAACGGTTCCGATCAACAACCTCTGCTCCTAAATCATTTAGTCAGGTCTCCCGCCACACAGGAAGCTGTCTTATTACTTCTGGAAGCGGCGCAGAGATTTAGTGAGCTCATGTTTGATGACAGCATACAACAAAGAGACAATGTTTGTGTGTGCATGGGTGCCAAGTGGTGTCGGTTTGGACTTCAGCTGTTTGCATGCAAAAACAAATCATGCTTTTATGTCTCCATCCAAACAAGACAAGTCTGGCTTGTCTTTATTTACACTCACAGAGACTGGAACTGCCGAACCCCAATCAGCATTTTGTAATCAACCTTTCTCATACATGAGCTGTCATGTGGATTAATTGCTAAATTAATTTCTTGTTGTTTGATACGGCATTTGTGTTGAGCTCCGGGTGAAAGACTTGAATAGGCAGAGAAACTCTCAACTATCAAGCTAATTACAAGTAAAAGAAGCTGGGGTCTGATTAAATCGTGTCAAATTAAAGATGAAACTGCCGTTTGATTGAGTGCCAAGCCATGCTAACAACAGCTGACATATCGAGTAAATTCAGATGAAAACATTTCAGCAGAAATCTACAAACTACCCATTTTTGTTTTATAGATTAAAAAACCCTAATTATGTTTTTAGATTTATGTATCCGTCTTTGCGTTCATCTCTCTCGGGTTCATCTTTAACATGTTTATTCTAACAATACGTCAGATTTAATGAGTAATTTTAAAGTCAAGTTTTAACTTGATGGATTTTCATGCTTACCACATAACAAACTACTTTTCACTTCCGAGTGGAGCAGAGAACTCATCAACACCGAGCTGACAGTTTCTCCTGTCTGCTCTGGGGCTCTGGTGTTATCAGTCTGAGTCACGTCAAATAAATCAAAGTACCTTCCACTGCCATGACGACTTCCCAAATCTGCAGCCAACGCATCTGGCTGGAGATGGAAGAAACTGCCTAGGCCATCAGCAGATTGCGATTCCCGCTGATGGCCATGTCCTGCACAACGTGCACGTAGTAATAGTACACCCAACCAGGCCGAGCTGCAGAGATGGACTTGCTATGTGATGGAGTGCACTGAACTCGCCCTGTGGCTGCTGTCGATGGCTCTCTGATTGATTCTGTCTTTCCTGTTTAGCCAATAAAAGTGCTCGGTGGCTCGTCATTGAATCAGACACTCACATAAACACTCCACACTGTCTGGAAGCTCCGTAGCCTTGCTTCAGGAACAGTTGCATGCCTGACTGGGTTCATTTGTTTGTCACTCATCTGATGAAAGACAGAGGTGCTTATTTATCTGTGTGTGTGTTTGTGTGTGTGTGCGCGCGCGTGTGCGTGCGTGCATGCTTGGGCTGTAGGGAATGTAGATTCCTCTGCAGTGTCAGAAATACAAGCTCTCATACGTGCAGTTTCTATTCAAGTGCCCAAGATTAAACTGAAGCTGTGGGAAAAAGGTTAGCCTGCTCGCTTTTCCAAACAAATTCTGCAGCTTAAAATAGCTGTGAAACAGACAGATCATGCACACACACACCGGTTACCTCCATGTCAGAACACTGGTCTTATTTCTGTTTACTTAAAAACACTTTGGTCATTTAGCTTTGAAAATCAAACAGGGTTTTAAAACAATATAAAAAAAATTCCAGATTTTTTTTAGCCTCGACTTGTCAGAATTTA